GGTCTACAAGATCAACATGAGTGACTCTCTGGTACATGGAGATGGAACAATTTCTATGGACTCTCTTAACCACAATAAATTCACCAATAGAAAGAGAGATTAAAAAAGGTATAATAATGCATCTGGAAGAACATCAAACCTCATAGACACATATGGTATCACAAAAGACAAGGTATCACCTGGATCAATCAAAGAATAAACATCGCGATGAAAGATTTTCAACAAACCAATAACCAGATCAAAAGAACCCTCTTGCTCATGACGCATATGAAGTTCACATAATCGATTTCTCTTTGGATAACCACTAGGAAAAAATTTCTACCTTCTATTCCCTTATATGTAAGTGATTAACAATACCTTATCTAGTTATTACAATTACCACAATCAAATAAACCATCTGTATTGGCTCGACATTTACCCTCATGCTTCCTTACACATCTAGTATAAATAGTCAATGAAGATCCACCACTGTTTCTTCCCTAAGGCTTAAGATTGGTTACCCTATCTTTATTGAGCATTGGAGCCAGACCATTAGAGAAACCTTGAAAAAAAATCTTTTGTCGGACCTAGAACGACCAAGTCCATCAGACCTTGAATGTGAAAAGTCACCATTATCGGTCTTTGCTTCCTTACACTACTCCTTATGTTTCTCCTCTTGGATTTGTTGAGAAAGAATTATTAGACTAGAAATGTTCATTTTGTTTATGAGCATGTCATCAGGATATACTTTAAGTAACATCTAATACACTCTCAAAACAAACTTGATCATTCAAACCCTAGGAACGACAACAATAGTAGGAGCATATCTAGACAATTAGGTTAACTTCAAAGGAAGACTCATTCACACTCATATTTCATTTGATGAAGGTTAATGAATTCAAGTACCTTTGCCTCACTAATTTCAAGGGGAAAGAATCTATCGACGAAAACATCCTTTAAATTTTTCTAATCAAGAGGACTCGCATCTGTCATGACCCAGTTCGTCGTGATTGACACCCACACTAACCTTCCAGTGGGTGAACCATTACTACAACCCAAAAAAAACAAATTTTATGAAAACTAAGGCATTTAAAGATACATAATAAAGATTAAATGACAATAAAAATGGAGTCCCCATAAACTCCAAGGTTTTAACAAAGAACTAACTAAAACTAATGCAGAAGAACAACCCCTATAACCTGAAAGTTATTCTACCGAAACTCTACTAACGACAAGTGTAAGAACAAGGGGTATTACTCTAAACTAAACAACACCTTAAACAAAAGCCTGAGTCCAAAAAGAGTGGACTTAAACAAAAGAGATACACGACAACCTGAAAAAGTTTGCCCACCCTTGAATCTGGTCATGCTCAATAGTCACTTAGCCGAGGTTTATCAATAGCAACCTAGAGATGCCTTGTACTCAACAAAGAAAGAACAAGTGCAATATCAGTACAGAACTAGAATGTATTGGTCGGTTACTCTTCTATCACATTAGATGCTACATATAGAAGTCTATACAACATAATAATAGCATGCATACAACGAACATATATAGTATCATCATAATTTAGAAATAATGTAAAATTTCACAATTCTCCAATATCACCATTATATCGACTAGTTGGTCCTCTCATGGATTCCAAATAAAAAATATTAGCATATCAGAACGTGGTACCCGCTCTAATGATTATGCTGAAGCGTGAAAACCGATCCCAATTACATGGCACCTAATCCCAATTAATTTAGTCAGAAAGTGGAAATTGGTTCAATTAGTTATGTTGGAACATAGCAATTTATCCATTCAACACACCACAATCACAATCACAAGTATATTCTCAATATTGTGCAATCAAAAATTGGTTCATGGCATATAAATATTTATTTACATGTGGTGTGATCAATAGTACAACATTTGCATACATACATGCATACTAATGAAGCAAAAATTAACTTACATAAAAAAATTTATAGAATCACAACCATTACCTACCTTGAATCTAAGCTTGAACCCCCTAAGGAGCTTTAATCATTCCTTTCCAGATTCCTTCTGCTAGTTTGCAGTCCAAAAACAAGGATCAACAATCAAAGGTATTATTATTCGTATAACATATCCAATAACCCTAGACAAAACCTAGATCTCCGTACGTAGATTAGGGGTTTTTCCACCCTAAATTGTAGATCAAAACCTTTCCCCATCGATATCAACCCAAGAAAATAAGTTGTATGGATCGAAAAATGGACTCGAATAGTGAAAACCATACCTTTATACACAAGAACGGTAAAAAACTATCAATAAAACTCCTAGGTTTGTTCCTTATCTTGCAAAGTTAAAAAGTTCAGAATAAAATGTTTTTGCGGTTTATTTACTATTTTAAGTCATGTCTTCTATGCCATGGTGACACTCACCCCACGATAGCGGCGCCTCCCAGGTGGAATAAATCTTGCCCCAACGGCTTGCACTGAACCATTGAGAAAGATTAATAATGTCAACACCCCATTTGATTAAACACCTTTAACTAACGAACCGTTCACGCCAAGATCAATTTAGGGAGTTCTACTAGCTTGAATTTAATTTAGTAAAGTCATATAATATCTTGTATATATACTCATGTAATTAAAATCACAATTAGGTCTCTCATTTGTTACTAGATTTCAATAGACCTTACTGACTCTAATTTCGTCCAAATTTGATTACATTGGGAAATTCAACTTACCACCAAAAAGTTTTCTGACCATGATTCTTTCCAATTGGATTTTCCCTAATGGTAGAGTTAGTTTTACACTAGATACCAATTTATCCATCACTCGTCCCTAAGTTATATACTAGGAAAGACTTTTAAGGGTAGATTAGTACCTGAATCACTGAACAACTGGGATACTTATCTCACATGTCCTTAATTTCCTGACATCGCAATCAATAATTTTAACTTGTTCTTCCTCGTACATAAGGTATTGTCTAAAAAAATGGAGTCTCACTTGATGATACAATCATCGCAGCAAGGCCAACCTATTGAATACCTACACATCAATCCATATAACGCCTCAACGAGCTCGTCACAATACTCAAGTTATAAGTCTTTTTGTATGTACACTTATCTAACAACAAAGATATTCTTAATGCCCACCAATGCTGATCATATGTTTGCAACATTTTATTAAGTACATCAACACAAACATCAGGATGAATCCTTTCTCACAAAATCATGATTTAAATCAATACTCGCTACAATTAGAGGTAAACGTGAACCAACCAACACACAGTCATGATACTCAAATAATCATAGTCCTTATAAACATGTCCTACTCATAACATAAAATTCCATAGCTTAAGTTATAAAGATTTGATCTTTAGATATTAGATACTCATCGAGGGATATATCCAAGCATACAAACTCTCCATTATCGAAATTTAGGATTTAAAAATAGTAGATTACCTCTTAAAAACATTAGAATTACACCCAATTATCCCCACATTCAACCATACATAATCAATACATGACCTCAATGACTAAATGAATATTAAGATTGTCGAACAACCATAAATGCACATGATATTGCTTCTATAAACTCTTGTAAGCGAGGTGGTACATGTATAACCACTAAAATACTTCAACAACTCCAAGACAAAATTGTATAAGTCATCCGAAATACTGTGTCTTCCCAAATCATCCATCTCAAGTAAGAGAACATCGCAGGATCATACACCTGATCCACCACTAGATATCCACCCACAAAATTTGAAAACATGCATGAGTATAGATAGTGCATCACACTCACAACCATTTACAAAATGAAACACAAGGCCATATTAGAATTTATCGAATAACACAAAAGGTTTTCTTCATAATAGTCTATACCAACCTTTCCATTCACTTGACTCCACATACTCTTTACATCCTTCCACAAAAGCCCAAACTCTCAATGATAACAACTATTATAAACACTCCAACCATTTACCTTACTCTAAACAAACATTTTTTAATATGAAAACCTTTCTTTGGTAATTCAACAATAAATAGTAATCAACTTTACAACTCAATCCAAGTGTAAGTCTTTTCAAATGCTCAATACCTTATACAATTGATCATTCTGCAACTTGAAAATTTATACCATGAAAAAATTTATCACCATGAATGTAGACTTTCAATGAAGAACCTAAATTGAAAATTTATCTATCAACATATACTTATACCTCAAAGATTTTTATGAATTCATGGATCTTCACTTATCATGGATCACATCTCCATCGATCTCACAATATACTTTTCTAACAATTCAATCATACTCATTAACAAAACTCAAAATAAAAAAATAGTTATTATCACACTCGAGCTAATGTTCGTACCCTCGTTTCTCATGTCTTTCCAATAATGTCTAATTGATCTAATGGACTTATGACACTATAACCATATATTCAATGCAAAATAAATGAAATCACACGTCTTTGAACCCAATTATCTACCCCTCTGAAGATACATCTTTAGCCTTTATAATCAAATACAATATTCTTGCTCTCGTCTCTCTCTAAAGTTCATACTTTATCCCAATATTATTCTTGATTATGACTCTACTTATTTTAAATTTCTATTTGAGTGGTGTCCCACCATTTCTTAAAACTATCCATACAATCACGTCTCACCAAATATTAGCAAAATCACAACCTTAGATATTTGGAAGTTGTAATTACTATACATAATTCATTTAACCAAAAATCTAATTATATAGTTACATTCAACCACAATCTATCACGCACTCTCAATACTATTATACTCAATTAGCTCTAGCCATCACTACATGTCACGAACCAAAGTACACCCTAGTCATTACCGACGTCGTCGTCCTCGAAGAGGACTAAGACCAGCCTCTTATCATTCGTCATAACATTTCATATGACAAAAACGCGAATAAATTTAAAATTTTATATATATATATGTACGTAATGTGGTTTACATAGACCTCTACATAGGAAGCGTACATACGTAATGAGGTTTACATAGACCTCTACATAGGAAGCATATATAGGATTCTCACTTAACATTTAACAAAAAACATAGTCTAATAGTTCATCTCACATTTAGCCATCTAAAGAATGAATTACATTAGTTTGGGGATAGATCTTAGTCTATTACAATATGCCCATCTAGGATAATATGAAGTATCAACATGAGAATGGAATAATTGTCTCAAAATATAGACAAAACTAATAAGGTTTGATGAGTGACTCTATCCTCGGAACTCATGGGGACTCACCCATTGACTTAGGAAAGAGCCAAGTCTTCTTCTTCAATGACCACATATCTCATCAATGGCCCGAACCTAAAATGTTTGGGAAAAAGGGGAGAAATATGGGTTAGTACAAAACACATATACTACGTATGTCTCCTATGCACAAAATAAGAAGCATAATAAGTCAATTCAACACAATATCAATCTAACACCCACGTAATACTTGTGAAGTGCCAAAGGTGGAACCCCATAATCCCATCCAAGGCTAAGTATCACATTAAGCAACTCACTTCATACTTACCACATATTTTCATAACATGCTTATACATCAATACTTAGTCATAGGTTATTAACATAACCATAATCATAATCATAATGATAATCATAAAAGAACACTAATAGAACCATCCCTTACAATTCTGCATATGCAATGAGTAAGAGAAGTTCCATACCATCCATCACCCTATGTAGTAGCCTGCAAGAAAACCCTAGTAAGAGTTCATATACTTCACTTATTCATTTACTTTCACATTATGGAGATAAGTGCAATAACCAACATGAGACCATGTGAGCTACATAAAATTCGGTGTTCTATTCCCACACCGAAAAGAGAGGGTTAACACTTGCCTAAGGTGCAACAATTCGTACATAGCTATATAGGTGGATCCACTAAGCTAGAGTCCTATATGCACATGGATAAGTGTCAACGAAATTATTTCTAGAAACCTTGACTTTCTAACATAGAGTTGTCCATCTCATGAGACAACACATAAAAAGTAAATCGGGACTTACTAAAATGAGGAAACCCATGTGGGAGGCCGGACTCACTAACGTGAGACCTCCATCTCATTTACATGCCTTTCGGTACTAATCAATTATTCCCATTTGTAATCATATTATTCATCATACAAGTTCACATTAGTCTCTTCTAGACCATTAAGTAAACATGTTTTTACAATATCTCATAGGTGATCAAGAGTGAGAACTATCCTTTCACTTTAGACTCAACATTATAATCATGAGAAACTACGTTCAATCATATATTGATCACATCATAAAATATTTACATACTTCATATACAATTCATAGATCTAGGGTTAGGTATAAGGTATCCTTGTCACCAATATCACAACAACACAATTAGCTATAACATCATATCAAATAAGTAGATTTCACCTTACATAATTGCGATCAAAAGAAAATCAAGATCATATATCATTCCCCTTCATGGGACTTAATAATTCAATACCCAAGAAATAACAACGAACATATGAAATATGGAAATTCATGAAGTATTAGAATAACTAAAATCAATGTAAACAAATGACATGTTCATCACCCTCAACAATCCAAGAAATTAGGGATTTGGGGGAAAGATATGGGTCAAGGGAAAACTCATAGGAATCCATCAATTGACCATCAATTCATTCTTAAACAAAATTAATTCATCATAGTTCATCATAATTATCTTACAATTTTGTTTTAGAAAGAAGACCCATTTGAGGAGAAAAGCCCTTGTTTTGGGGAATCTAGAAATCATCTTTTGAAGGACCTCTTGGGGAAAAGAATCCCAAGAGTGAAAGAAACTATACCTTAGATATGATAAATCCACGAAATTAGGTTTTGGAAACTTGAAGGCTTGACATTTTTCTTGGATCTCTATTGGTATTTAAAGGAAATTTAGAGGAAGAGAGAAAATTTGGGAGAGAGAGATTTTTCAGTTCAACTTGTGGGACTTGGTTTGAGTGATAAAATTGAGATAAGACTGACCCTAGTACATTATATAGTCACCCATTATATATTTAAAATACCCCTCACTTAAATGGGTTTATTTGTGAAGTCAAAACACCAAAAATACGACTTTTACGATATCTGGGAAGTAGGTGCGCGTCACGAGGCTAACTCCCCAACTTATTTTCAAATTTTGAGCTGAGGCAGTAGGGTCCGTGTCATCCCCGCATCACGAGTCCAACTTCAGATTCCCTCATGATGGTTGCGCGTGTCAGCCACAAAAATCTGCCTGTGCAAGCTGCCTTGGCAGATTGCTTGCCAAACTTCGGGTCCTCCCCAAGGACCCTTCTGGTGGTCCATGGGGTGTCGTTACTATCCGTTTTGACACTATATACTACATTATACCTATTCAAAGTATTTTTATAAGATTTGTACTTCATATGACCCTCTAAAACTTTCATCAAACAAAGGGACGTCAACTAGTTAAATTTCGCTAGTTTCTGAACGTTAAGAGTTTTATATAATCCTATGGATCCAATACATATCAAATATAGTTTTTACACTTATTTAGATCTAAAATAATTATTACTCAACATATTAGGCTCTATTATAGGTCGTGAATTTTCGGGGTGTTACACTACAAGTAAACCTTCTACTGACAACACTCCTCAAACTCAGATATACCCACAAAATTCAATGGACTAACCTAACTTATACGCATTTTCTTATGAAAATACTATAATTACCTTAACCCAAGTATACTAACTGGGACTTTTTTTTATCCATACGATTGTGATTTTCGTATGAATTCTCTCATTTATGGCTTAATACAAAATCATCAATCCTCACGTCACTATCCTACTTCTTAAACAAACGAGAATGAAGCACCGCACGTGAAAACACTAGGACGATAAAACCTCTATCAAGAAGATCTTGTATTTAAGATTTAATATCTCTCCAATTTTGCTAGATCCATACGATAAGGATAAATGGAGATGGGGTAAGTGACACCTTCCAAGTCAATCCAGAAATCTATATCTCTATCCGAAGGCATACAAGGGAAATCAGTATGAAACATTCCTCTAAATTCAGACAGTATAAGAATAGAATCCATAGAGTGAGAATCAACCTAAACATCCCGAATATGAGCAAAAAAATCCAAACAACCCTACCCCACCAGTTTCCTAGACCGAATAGATGATATGGCCTTATCTAGCTTAGGCTTATACACCCCTTTCCACTCGAATCTTTCCTTATCGTGGATATGTAGAGTTACCGACTTAGTATTTAAATTAAGCCTAGTATAATAGGGGACAATCAAGTTATGCCTAAGATTTATGGCAAGTCAATCATATCATGCCTAACCAAATCAACCCGAATCTGAAAACCCATAATTACAACATGACAACACAATGCACATTCCTGATTGTGTCTGACTCTACAATCAGGATAGAAACATGGATGGGGCATCAAGTATATCAAAAAACACATAAAATCCTAAGATACGTGAACTGACACATATGAATAAGTAGAAGTTGAATCAAAGCAAACAATAGTCATCTCAGCTAAACAAGAATAGCACTTGTGACCACTGCATCACACCCTCAAACTTGGTCTTGCCTGGGAAAACATAAAACTACGTCTCTATCATTTTAAGGGGAAACTTCGTTGCCTGGATGCACTACTCCCCTACCTGCATTACCATTTACCTGACCTCCACATCCTCGCTTATTTCCTCCACATATGCTCATGTTCTCCAAAACATTAATATACTTTTTAAATTTCGCTCCGGCGGGAGAAATCCCACGCAGGAGATCTCGCCTTTGTGTGGAAAATACCTCTCTATCAACTTTGACACAAACAGAACCCCCACCAACAATTTATGGGGCTCCTCTTTTTTCTATAATTCCCCTAGATTTCCTGGCAATAGCTAGGCATTTAAGAATATCTCTTTATGTAGGACAATCATGTCTATACTCCGGTCAACAAAATAAAGTACACACTTTATAATCCTTTTAAATCGTTTTAACACTACCTCACACATATACCCATGATACATCTACACTCTCACATAATTATCAGTTGGTCGCAACACATGTCCAAAGTTCATGCTTATGAACCACATCATATTTATCAAGACCCTTGTACCTAATATCGTGATGACTTTCTTTTCACAACAAATTTCATGACACTAAAGAAATTACAACTTGAAAAAAAGTCTAAATTCTTTAAGTAGTTTGTTCCACAAATGACCATTATTGATCATCTATGCATTTTACGATCCCAAATCCAAATACTAATTAGAAGATACTCAGTTTCAATTAATTTTCTTGTGTCCCTTAAACAAGGACAACATCGTCTAGTTCAATTCGTTGACATACCAATTTGAAATGGGAGATACAAATTGGAATCAACTCATACCATAAGGGACAATGGTAGATACAAAGCCCTCACAAAGTTGGTAATTTGAATTACAGAACTTGGCCAAACCCAATCCTAATCGCCTCAATCTTTAATTGAGTGGTAACCACACGTTAAATCAGTCTTAGAGAAAATCTATGCATCTTGCAATTGGTCAAAAAGTCATTTATCTGAGGCATTGGATACTTGTTCTGGCTGGTGATTCTATTTAACTAGCAGTAGTCTAAGCACATATTCTCTTGATAGTGATGGTGTTAAAACTTTTGTTACTTTAGTTCAAACCATAGAGTGCGTCATGAGCACCCCCTTAGGCATGACATGGCGTATAAGACTCCTAAGAGCTTCATAGTTTTTCATTGCATTAGATATAAAAATAATGTGGTGTTAAAACTCTTTTCAAACCAATAAATCATACTTAATTCAAAACAAATACTTAAAAATACATAGAAGTCTAAGTCACATATGAACGCCTACATAATTACTTGAAAACTAGAGTAGGGACACAACCCTTTACCATAAAAAAGACTGGAATTGTCTATACCATGAATAAGAAGAACATAAGAGCTCTCATCCTCAGATCCATGAGGAGATATCAAGTCATTGTGAATAGAAATTCAACAAATTAAATCAAGATAGAACACTTTCATGTCGGAACCAACACTTACAGTAAACATGAAGAAATATGGGTTAGAACAATTAAGTACAAAGTATGATTACCATGAAAAAACATCTTTTAAAATGGATATTTTGTTTGGAAGTTATGCCTATTCCATTTAGATTAAAAAAATTAATGAATACTATCACAATAGACATAATATGTAAACATAAACCAAATAAAAATCAAATCTTCACATTAGGACATAATGAACACATATACCCTTTTCTTCACCTTAAGTAATCCTCAAGTTATAACTTAGTCAATGTATAAATAGCGTCCCATACAACCATCCACACTTGCTAAAACTCAAGGTTACCAAAAGTGAACTTACCCTTCAACCTTTCCATCTATACACAATACTAACTCATAAGAGACATAAGCATTACATAAGTCATATCAACACTTTTGGACCATAGTATAAGGCAACTTTAAGGCATACTTGTGCAATGTATGAGTAGAATACCATACTACTACTCATAATAAGTACTCCTTTAAATAAACCATAGACAAGACACCTTCATACTCTTTTAAGTCATGATAAGGAAAGTAAAGCACAAGTAGAATCCAACTAAAGCATGCATATTATTATTTAGACTTTAAGTCAACATTCTTCATTAGCATCATTTAGAATACTTTCATTCTTTATTGATACCTTAATTCATAGGCC